CCCCCCCCCCCTTGATCCGCCACTGGCGCCGGAAGACTGTCAGATCATCGATCCACGTCGCGGCACGGACACGGGCAGTTCCTCCGGAGTCGCTCGAAGTCTGTGAGGGTCGGCGACGAATGCATCGTTCTCGTATGTTCGCAACGCAGCATTCCGTCTATGAAGCTGTGCTATGGGGGAGACTCCGTGATCTTCTGAGTCTGCCATCGCGGAATATTCACAACGTATCCCGCTGAGCTCTTACACATATCGCCTCAGAATGGCACGATTTGGCAAGTTTATCAATAAAATACTGTTTCACTCCGATTCGGATCCCGATAGGGGATACCATGAAGTCGAGATTTCGGGTGACCGAATTCTCCGCTTCTGATTGTAAGAGATTTGACTCACGATTATCCAGATGAACGGAACAACGTGCGCCCTCTTGGATTTCGACCACTGACTCGAAGAAAGCAGGCTCATGTTATGAGTGACTCCGAAGATGGGGATCTGTTGAGCGTTGATCGGGTGAGTGGTGAGAGAGTGTGAGTGAGAGAGCTGAATAGCGGATCGGGTGCTCCAGGACTCCGTGGAGATCATGGCGTCGGTCGAAAAATAAGGATGTCCGAGCGAGCAAATGAATCATTTGAGGTTTCGGGATGAGATCGGGCGGTATTTCCGCATTCTATTCGCGTCAATCCGTTCTAACACCCTGGGGTCGACTGTTGCTCTGCTTGCTCTCAGGCTTCCATTTCGATTCCGGTACTCCTATCGGATTACACACGGTACCGATCTTCCACAATCAAGACAGTAGCATCCTCCATTTGACCGCCTAAGACGTGATGGGCAATATAACTTTTCAATTTCAACCAGCCCAATTTCAACTACAGTAGAACCTCGATTATATCAACCTCGATTATTTCAACATTTTCCGGACCGAACTCGATTACATCAAGCTCGATTATATCAAGCCTCGATCATATCAACCTTAGATTATATCAACCATGATTATATCAACCGCGAATTCCTATCGTCGGAATTCAATTCATTGGCATGAGATCTGCTTGGCGCCACATGGCATTCTCTGCTCGGACTCTGAAAAGGTGCCATCACACATTGTCTCTTTCGAAGATCTTCTAGTCCGCTCAGAACATCGCTGCTTGTCATCCGACATCGGAGAGAGCTTGCTGTTGGCTTATCGAAGCGAGCCGGAAGACCACATACTCAACGTTGTGCTCTGACAGAAGTTAATCGGGGAGATCTTGTTCTCAGAGTCAGGGCATCGCGATGGAATCTGGCAGGAAAAAGAGGACCGTGCTGACTCTCCAGCAGAAAAAAGAAATCCTAGTGTGCCTGGATCAGGGTGAATTGCAAGCGACTTTGGCCAAGAAATTCGGAGTCGACAAAAGCACGATTTGCTACATCAAGAAGAATGCAGATCAGATCCGACGGTACGTTCAGTCTCGAAGTGAGCAATTCGGCCCCAAAGATGCGAAAGTGATGAAAACCGCCGAAAACGAACTTCTGGATGCGGCTCTCTTTCTTGTGGTTCCTTCAGAAACGTCACATTGGATTTCCACTCTCGGGCCCGATCATCTGCGCCAAAGCTCTGGAACTCTATCCGAAGCTCGGCGGAACTCGAGATTTCCGAGCTAGCAACGGTTGGTTGCAAAAATTCAAGAGTAGGCATGGCATCCGTGAACTAGAAGTACAAGGGGAAAGTTTGTCATCAGACGCAGAAGCAGCTGGTCAATTCGTCATCAAATTCAGAGCTGCTCTGAACATCGGAACTTTCGACCCTGAATTCATCTATAATGGTGATGAAACAGGACTGTACTACAGGGCGCTACCAAGCAGATCGCTAGCAGCGCGCAATGAGCGGTCGGCGCCGGGACGGAAGGCGAGCAAGGATAGGGTGACTGTTATGACATGTGCCAATGCCACAGGCAATCACAGGATCCCCATTCTATTGATCGGAAGGTCTCAAAATCCAAGATGTTTTCGAGGAGCGAGCATCCCGCTTGTTTATCGAGCGCAAAGAAAATCATGGATGAGTCGATACATTTTCGTGACTGGTATGAGAACTACTTTTATCCCAGCAGTCGAAGAACATCAGAAGATCATAGGCAAAGAAGGAAACGTATTGCTCATTTTGGATAATGCTCCTTCGCACCCGCCGCTGACGACCATGGAGACCAAGAACGGAAAATTCACCGTCACATTCTTGCCGCCGAATGTAACTGCTATCCTTCAACCGATGGATCAAGGCGTCATTGTCGCCCTGAATCGTTTATACCGTAAACAGCTGATGTTCAGGATGCTCTGTCTTATCGAGAATGACGCAGCGGCGGCGTCAGGGAACCTCAGTAAGCTGATTGATCTCAAAGATTGTTGCTTGATGCTGTCTCAAGCGTGGGCTTCAGTGAGAACCTCAACCTCGCGGAATGCCTGGAACAAGTTGATGCCAATCGGCTTCGGAGGAGAGCCTGCTTCATGGACGATTCGTTTGAAATCGCAGTTCTCGGGGAGAACTTGCGACAAGATCCAAGATTCGCCGAATGCGACGCGACTGACATAGAGGAATGATTGGATTGCGACTCGGAGGAAACTGGCAACCAAAATCTCAACGACGAAGAAATCATCGAACAAGTGCTGGCAGCTTTTGGTGAGGGAGAAGGCCCGCAGGAAGATTTCGAGGAAACTTCGGAGGATGAAGAGGTCTCAGACACTCTCTCCGGGCTCCGTCCAACCCCGATGCAGGCGGTAGAAGCCTTCGACACGGCAATTCGATGGTTGCGTAGTCAGGAAGAGTGCGAAGCCGAGGATCTTCTTCGACTGATCCGTCTTCGAGATGTAGCGTCTGTGCATGGGAGGAACTGAGCAGTTGACATGATTGCGGGAAATACGAACCAAGGATGATATCATGAGGATTGTCTTTCCTTCCAAAATCGAGCTTATTCAGAGAATTTACAGCTCCCAACTATGAGTTAGTTTGTTCCTATGGGACCTCGATTATATCAAGCCCCTCGAAGTCAACCCTCGGTTATATCAACCTCGATTATTTCAACTCTCGATTATATCAACATTTTTTGACATCAATTAGTTGATATAATCGAGGTTCTACTGTACTCAGAGATGCGTTCCCACCATAACAAAATTATTTCAGTTGTCCTCCCACCGAAAATCGAAGATTTCATCCAGGGAAAGACGGGAATTCGCAGGATTCGCTATCGGCTGGACCGATCACCATGAGGAGGTGGATTCTCGGGAGCTCCTAAGAAGGCTATCGGGGGTTGACGTCATCATTGGCCTCTGTCTTTCTACTAATGAATCTCGCTGAAAATTGCTGTAGCCTTGAAGGGTATAGATTTTCCGAAGAACATATGGAATAAAAGCGGGGGACGGGGAAACGCGATATTCCGCGGACTTCGGGTTCTTGTTCCTCTGACATGCCGTCCGCAAGTGCTGAAGGAGCTCCACGATGGACATTTTGGTTCGGACAAAATGAAAGAGTTAGCTCGACGCTACATCTGGTCGGATACTATCAACAGAGACATCGGAGAACTAGCCAAGCAATGTGTGACTTGTGCTCTATTTGCTAAACAACCATCGAAATCATATCATCCTTGGTAGAACACGGAACAACCATTCGATCGCATCCATTGTGACTACGCCGGTCCGATAGAAGGAAGATACCTCTTCTTGGCCGTCGATGCTCAAACTAAGTGGCTAGAAGTAATGGTTTCAAAATCGAAAACGTCACAAACAAGCCCTAATCATCTTAGGGAAATCATTGCCCGATTTGGATTCCCGAGAGTAATCGTCACTGACAATGATCCGACATTTGCCTCGAGTAAATTCAACTTGTCAAGCGAATGGCATCCTTCATAAAACCAGTCCTCCGGACCACCCCGCCTCGAACGGTCAAGTGGAACGGTACGTTCAAACTACGAAGCAGGCGCTGAAGAAAATCAGAGCTGAGGGGGAGGAAGACCTCCACACCGCGATTCAGCAATTTCTGTTTCGCCACCGAATGGTCAACAGTTCATCGACAAACAAGACTCCGGCCGAACTCATGATAGGACGACAATTACGCTCCCGACTCCACCTGTTTTAAGAGCGGCCAGCAGCGAAACACACTCAAATCAACGAGGAGGCAAAACTTCAACCACGCATGCAAGTGATGGCACGGGTTTACAATTGGAATGACAAGTGGATTCCTGGGGAAATCGTGAGACCTCTGGGAAGGAAAGTCGCGTTAGTCAAGAACCTCCTCACGGAACCTGGAAACGCCACTTGAACCAGATCAGATCGTTAGGAGAGAGAGCCCGTGCTCAAAGTTTCGATGAAGCACTACACCCGGCGTTGTGGGTCGCTGAGGGTCCATCGGAAGAACAGCCATTGAACACATCCAGCTCGGAGAGCGAGGACACGGATGATTTCGCCTCGCTTGGAGATTCGGAGGAAACAGTCGAAACCCAAGAGGAGTCTCCGACGCAAGACACCGTCAACGATCAGAAAGATTCCCCAGCAGAAGAGTTAGTTTCGAATTCTGAGGGGTCTCTGACACAGGCGTTGGTCAACGCGTCGAGTGATTCATCGAAAGGGACCTCATGCGAAAATCCTGTGAGGCCTCAGCTGGATCTGCGTCGATCGACTCGTAAGACTGCTGGGATACCTCCTAGAAGATTCTAACATTGTGATACAATAATTATCCGAATGTAAATACTTCGAAAGAAGGGGAGAGTAGTTACGATTCAAGCGTCCCGCCAATATGACAAATAGACAAAGGGAAGCAGACTGCTTCGTATCGGCGCCAGTTCGGTGTCGAGCCATGACCAAGCAGGTCGTCCTCATTTAACAGCAGTACTCTTCAACACCTCCGAAAGGTCGAATCACGAATGGAGACTCGATTTTTCGTCGGCCATATGTCAGTTGAATAGCGGAGGAGCATGCGGTCGAGCGATGACGATTGAAAGCATAAGTATTTATTTATAGCATAATACTTGATAAGACATTCCGAAAGGACGCTCGTCAGTTTTAGAAACGGATGCCCACATTCAGTACAACCATTTTTGCGGTGAACATGAGAGAGATCCGGGCGAAGGGTCTCAGAAGGTCGGAAGCCTGGAGCTTCATTCCTCAAAGCTCCCGACCCTCCCCTCCATGGAGAGCACTATCGCATGGCCAGTTTTCCGGCACAAATCATCCTATGCGTGTCGACCGGAGTGTGTCACGTTTTCAGCGTGTCGTCCTCGCTCGGAATATTCTCTTGACTCGGAGCGTCCTTGTCACTCGTAGCAGCCAGAGGTTTCGCGATTTTGTGTTTCTTGAGGTGACGATTGATGTGGCTCCTCTGCTTGAAGCTTTTCCCACATTCCTTGCAAACGAATGGTCTCTCTCCGGTGTGGACTCTCTTATGGTCTTTGAGCTCAGATTTCCGCCGATACCGATTTCCGCATTGTTCGCAGGCGAATGGTTTTTCTCCTGCATGTAATCTTTTGTGAGCATAGACATTATACTTCTGAGCGAATTTCATTCCGCACTGATCGCAAGTAAATGGTTTCTCCTTGGTGTGAACCTTCTCGTGGGCTCGGAGGTCACATCGGCGGAAAAATTTCCTCTCACATTCGGCGCAGCTGAACTGGGCTTCGTTGGTGTGAGTGATCCTATGACGCTGAAGACTTCTTTTCAGTGAGTACTTCCTTCCACACTCATCGCAAACGAACGATTTCTCAGCTTTTGTTTCTTCGGGCTTATTTTCATTGACACAATCCCCAGATCGACTATCACCATCATCGTCACAATTATCCGGTGCTCCCTGGTTCTTCTTTCCTTCATCATTCCAAGGCATACTGTCTTCATTATCTCCACAATTTATCGGCGTCTCCTCCTTTACATGTTCGTTGAGACACTCCTGATTGACTGTCTTCAACGACGTCAACATCCGACGGTGTTTTTCGGTGCCCATCCTCATTGCTAAAATTTTGAGATTGACTCTCCTCATCGAAGTCACAATTCAACAACAATTCATCCTCATTATCAACAAAGAGTAAACTTTGCAACAGACCCCCTTCATCGTCATCATCATCAGCATAATTGATAGTTGGTTCCTTTTCTATCAGCTGAAGTCCAGATATGATCTCGATGCTTTCGTCAGAATCGAAAACTTCCTCCGAAGGAGAAGGGTCCGTACTCGAACTCCCTTTGGAAAAATCCATCTCCATCCCAATAACCTGAGATGGATGTCATAGATCTGCCGGGAGCACGGTAATCTTCGGCATTAGGTTCTTTCGCATCGTCTCCTCATCATAGAACGCTCCGACGCCATCCCCTCCGCGCGCATGAGTCTGCAAGAGCGGTAGAGAATTAGGAAACAGAAGATCAGGGAATATTATGAGAAGGGGAGACAGTCCTGAAACGGAGAAATATCTCTCCGGATCCGCGAGTCCGGGAACGTGATCGATTTCGAGGACGATCCGCTTATCGCCGCAGAGACGCTCATCGACCTCGGAAGGTGCTGTGGAGGATTCGAGATCGGATTCACGACCGAGAGGAAACGAATAAAACTTCACACTCCGGCTCATCTGACGGTCACGTATCTCTTTAGAAGAACGTTCTAATCGGCAATTTCGCGGGGACCTCCATGCTTGAATAGAGGTGATGACCGCCCGCTCCCGAAACCTCTCAAACATTGTCGCCCGCTCGCCCCGAGCGGCCGATGCTGGAACCGCTCGATTCAATGCCATTCGAGATGTTCAATACGAGATTCGAGACCGCACAATCCCAGGCTCAGGTCGTGACTCACATTAGGTGAATGTGATTTGAGATCTGTGAACGCTAAGAACGAATCCTGGGAGTGGAGCCTTAGTCGGGAAAACGATCTTCCCAGCGAGATTTTCCTTCATCGAACCGGGTGATTGCCACAGCTGGTTCGTTCAAGGGACTTCTGTTTTGAAAAGAATTCTCTCTCATGGTGGAGCCGCCAAATTTCGAGTGTCCCTTCGAGATCGTGACAGATCGGCAACCGCCATTCACTCCTCCGAAGAGATACTCTCCGGGCCATCAGGGCGAGAATCGGGCTTCGGAAGCGGGGACTTCGAGGAAACCGGTCATGATTAGCGGGATTCATCCTCCCGCAATCCACAGATGTCGAATCTTACCTGAGATGCTATCAAGCGAGCAGGAGTCTCGCTCCGCAGCATCTGAGGATGTGGGAGAATCGTAGTAGCAAAGTCTCGAGGGGAGAATGGGTCGACGAACTTTTTGCTACGGAATTTGGCTCGTAGTCCGCGACCTAGTCCTATCGGTAATCTCATGGTACGTGCCTTCCAATCGCCCCGGAATCGGGCGCTTCGTAGTCGCGAGATCTGCTCGATGCTTATCATGTTTGTGGCGTTGGGCTTCACCGAAGGAATACACGGAAATCTTGTGAGGATGTTTCGAAGACTTCTGGGAATGATGCGAAATCGAAACCCGAAGATCTGCTGAGTAATCGCCCTGAATCAGGGTCGCGTGTAGCAAATGATCGTCAAGGATGATCGTCCAGCGGATTCATCATCGAATTTGCATTTTAGGGGATTCAATTCTCTCGAGTCTCGAGTGTCCGAGCTACACGTGGCAATCGGTTGTCTATGTAAATGAGGAATGGCCATCGAAGACAGAGACACAAGTCGGGAAACGGATGGAGCCGTGGCTCTCGAGAATGCTTCAGCCTTGATCGGCACTTCCGAATACGATCCGAAGAGCGGGTTGACGTTCCACCCGTTCCGGCCGCAACGAACACAGCTTACAGACTCTCTGTGAGTCTGATGCGGAGCGACGTCAGCTCCCAGTCGCGCGCTCGGTAAAAGTTAGTACACGCAGCTCCGTGAGAGAACCTCACGGAATGAGCCCGAAAGTCTGGAGTATGCTGCACTGGTCATCAAACTGAAAGACATGTTCGCCGTTTCAAAGTCTCTGTTCTGTCGTGGGTCTGAATCGTTGCTCCAAGATCGCCACACTCGCGGGGAAACCGCAGAACAGATCGCAAGTAACGCTATCTTGGGAGCGGATGGGTTAAGTTCTTTCTAATTGGACTCCCTTTGAATTTTCATCATGCTTCCTTCTGTCGGTCATGAAGAGATATGAGACCGGTACAAGCGATGCTGAAGTCAAGTGCAGTGCGACGAAGGAGAAGCCAACTCCGACCGTTTTCGCCATCTCGCTGAGAGAGCCAGCGAAGACTTCTTAAGCTACCGGTCGCCAGTCATTCAAGGAGCAATTCGCTCTTGCATACCCTGTCAATCTTTCTCGACGTTCATAGAGGGGATCCGATCCTAAGTCTGACTCGCAGAGCCTCAGCACCGACTTCTTGGACAAGGACTCCCACGAGATGCGACTCTTCACGAGGGATCAACAGGGAGTGATGATGGCTTTCGGCGTTCGATTGGGCTGGAAATCATTCCTATCGCTTCTCGGTCTGTCGTTGGGCGGGGCTTTCACGGTC